GTGTGTGTGTGTGTGTGTGTGTGTGTGTGTGTGTGTGTGTGTGTGTGTGTGTGTGTGTGTGTGTGTGTCTGCGTGTGTGTGTGTCTGCGTGTGTCTGTGTGTGTGCATCTGTGTGTGCGTGTGTGCGTGTCAGCGATAAGTCGGCAGCAGAGAAGCGGCGTCAGTTGATCCAGGAGTCCAAGTTCTTGGGAGGTGACATGGAGCACACTCACTTGGTGAAAGGTCTGGACTTCGCCCTGCTGCAGAAGGTCAGAGGTCGCGGTCGTCGGGATAACCTGTGCGGGTGTGTTACCTGCTCAGCTGTTTACCTGTGTGTGTGTTACAGGTGAGAGCTGAGATCACCAGCAAGGAGAAGGAAGAAGAAGACATGATGGAGAAGGTCCAGAAAGAAGCCAAGTAAGGAACCACTGAGCAGAGCTGCAGCCCTGCGATCAGAACCTCACCTGCCTCTGTGACCTTTGACCCCTCACCTGTCTGTCTGTGTGACCTTTGACTCCCGCACCTATCGGTCTGTGTGACCTTTGACCCCCCTCTTTTTTACTTGTCTATGTGACCTTTGACCCCCGCACCCATCTGTGTGACCTTTGACCCCTAATCTATCTCTATATGACCTTTGACCTCTAATCTGTCCGTCCCTGTGACCTTTGATCCCTTGCCTGTCTCCGTGTGACCTTTGACCCCTCCCCTGTCTGTCAGGAAGGACGTGGAGCCCGAGGAGAAGATGGAGTTTAAGACTCGTCTGGGTGAGTCGTGTTTTCTGGAGGAAGGTGTGGATGTGGGGGGAGGAGGAGGTGAGGGAGGGGAGGTGTGACTGTTGTGAGTCTGGAGCGTTCAGGAATAAAGGAGGATCGTCTCCGGATCAAACGGAATCTTTTTAGAACAACGTGAATATTTTGGTGGAGAAATCATATGAACGTGAATATTGAACCCGGCGTTCCCGCTGTCTCCGTGTTCGCTCAGGCAGGAACATCTACCGCGTGGTGTTCAGGTCCGGCGTGACCGAGAGGAACGAGCTCTTCCTGCCCGGCAGGATGGCGTACGTGGTCGACCTGGACGACGAGTTCACCGACACCGACATCCCCACCACGCTGATCCGCAGCAAGGCGGACTGTCCCAGCATGGAGGTGAGGCCGAGTCCTCGCCGCGTCATCGCCACGCCAAAACATCCGAGTTCTCCAGCTGAATGATTTCAATATCGCAGAGCCCTGAGATCGTTCCCTCACGTTCTCTCATGTTCTGTCTCTCAGGCTCAGACCACCCTGACCACCAACGACATCGTGATCTCCAAGCTGACTCAGATCCTGTCCTACCTCAGGCAGGGAACCCGCCACAAGAAGATCAAGAAGAAGGACAAAGGTGAGTCTGCACAGCTACTGGATGTTCTCCTGACGCTCTGCAGGTGTGCCAGAGGGCCCGGTGGCGCCAGTGTCCGGCAGCCTCGTGTCTGTCAGTGCGCCCCAGGGTGGCTACAATGTAGCTGCCATCACCAGTGTGTG